GAGTTCTCTCACGGCGATCCGGAACTCTCTTTCTACTTTGGAGTACAGGATTACACATATCTACCGGGAGGGCAATAAAGTAGCTGATGCATTAGCTAACTTGGGGTGTCAGACCGAGTTGGCTCGTACCTTCACAACAGCGGAACTTCCCCGACCTATTCAGCAGATGATTCGGATGGACCAGCTTGGATATCCATCCTTTCGACGACAGTCTTGCACATAGGTGCCATGCATTCCACGTTTTTATATTATTGGCAATTTAGGAATTTTCGTGAACTTTACATGTTAGGAAGGGTTGGGGTGATTATGGATTGTTTGGGTCTATCAAGACTAGACTGTTTGCCGAATGGTGCCACACATTTCGCAGCCGTTATACCTGTTTCGCCCATTTTTGGCGAAAGTGTAAGTGGCCTCGGCTGTTGTGGTGAGGCGAACGGTCTACCTTGGTCTTCCCCGACCTTCTATGATCATTCCCACCCCGTCCTTTTTATTATTTGGGCCACCTGTTTTGCCCGTTTTCTTAACGTTTTGTTAGTTACCTATTGTCTTTTGTTTGTCAATTGCTATTATTAGCCATATGTTGGGCAGTAGCAATTTGAGCGAAACTCATTATGTACTTCTTAAATTTTGTTTTATAAACAGGTAGGGGGTCAAGCCTAACCCCACCCTCATCGGGTGTCGTTCTCTTGAAAAAAAAAAAAAAAAATTTACTGTCAGTGACAATATAATTACCGTTAATGACAGCACACTTACGATCAACATTTAGCGGCGGGGAAAAAAAATCGAAAAGTCAATACCGGAGACCGACGTTAACCGCCGGTCAACGCCGGAAACCGGCGGTTAAAAAATAATTTTTGAAAAAAAAAGTTTTTGAAAAAAAGAAGTCAAAATTGGATTTTTCAGCTCAAATTTGATTAAATTGGGATTACAATTAAGAATTGGGTGTAAAGGGTTGGGGCTAATTTTGTCACATACATGAATTTTTCGTTTATTTATAATAAATATTAAAGGGATGAGGTTATTGGCGAAAGAGATATAGCCCGCTAGACCTAGAATAATAGAGATGATTGGTTAGGGACTTATGCACCCCATTAAAAAATAACTAATGACAAGTATATTTTAGTATTTACTATGTTATATTTGGTAAAATTTATTGATATTTTAATACACGCATAAACACCCCAAAATAACATATAATATGGGACGGATGGAGTAAAAAAAAGAATAGTAATAATATTGGCAAACAACCAAATTATTGAAATTTAGTATTTTTTGGAAGCAAAATGCCGTGAAGAAGTGTGTTTTCTTGCTTCTGGGATTAAGACATCTTTTTATTTTTACTAGTTGAATGTGCATTGCACCTTTCTTATTAGTTTTCCAATATATTTATTAATTATGCATTACTTTTTAGGGACTATTAGTAAAAAAACACCTCTATCGTTTTTATTTTTATTTTTAATAAGGATGGGTCCAACGCCTTTTTACTTATTAGTGATAGACTCATCCTTTCTTTTATTCTCAAATTTATCCTCCCTCTATTCACTACCCATTACCCACCATTTTAGTGTCTTTTTCTTTTTCCTTTTTTTTTAATAATTTTTTCGTGTATTTATTTAAGCGCGAAATACAGTTTACACCCCTAATGTATATCATCTGTAACACTTACCCCTAAAGTATCATTCGTTATACTTACCCCTCAAACTCAATTCAATTTGTATTTTAAATCCTAATACCTTAAAAATTTTCTTTTTTTTATTTAAAATAATAACTAAAAGAATAATTAAATTATACAAATAAAAATATCTGTTGAAAAATGCAATATTTGAACATTTAAAAATATTATGTTGTACTGTTGGATACATATTAATAATAACATCTAATTGCTATTGGACCAACTAATCGAATATAATCATATCGATAAGTTTTAAGAAATCAATACATAAATAATAGTAATCTTAAGTATTTATATTTATTTTAGTTCATTAATTTCTTAAAATATATTTTCATTAATTATTATACAATATATATTACTTTTTTTTTTTTTCCAATAATTTAGTTTTAGTTGCTTTTCAATTTTTATGATCCAATAATTATTAGATTGTTATGTTTATTATGTTTTAATTTTAAACTATAAAATATTTGATGTTGAGGAGTAAGTGTCACAAATGATACTTTAAAGGGGTAAGTGTTACATAGGCTATACTTCAGGGGTGCAAAGTGTATTTAGCCCTTTATTTAAAACTGACTTAAAAAAATAAAACTTAAATCAAAAATCAGTTTTTTTTTCCTTTTCAGAATTAACTAAAAAAATTCTGAAATCAAGTACAGTATTTCCGAAAACAACTATTATATTTTCGAAATCAACTATAATATTTCCTAAAGCAACTATAATTTAATTTTTATTATTTCATATTTTTCCATAATCAACTATAAAATTATCGTAAACAACTTCAAAATTGTGGTTTTCAATAAGTTTACCAAAAATTGAAATGAACTACAAAATTACTAAAAACTATTTTTTTTTTCATTCTTTCCTGAATCAACTATAAAAAAATCAAAATCTAATATAAAATGTCGAAATCAACTACAAAATATCGAAATCAACTATAACTTGTCGAAGTCAATTACAATAAGTCGAAAACAACTACAATTTATCGAAATCAACTAGAAAAGAGAACACCCCAATTGCAACGAAAACTACTATGTAATTGAGCAAATACATCTACAAAAACACGATCTTCCCCCAATCCACAGGCGGAAATCCTTCAACTAAGAAAAAATATCAATTGAGCCATCACAAAATGAATAAACTATGGCAAAAGCTTCCGACCCGAATCCAACTTCTCTTTATGAAATGTTCGAATGTCCTCCCCTCGATTTTGCAGTTGTAGCCACATCATCTGAAAAATAAATTAGCATAAAGTTATGATATGAGTAAGGTAGCAAATTTACCGGACTATGAAAATTAAATAAAATCGATTATAACTATGCAAATCGACTATAGAGCATAACAATACATCAATATACTCTCTCGTGCTAATCAACTATGAAACAGAAAAATCCATGAAAAAATACTAAAGCATCAATAAACTTCACTAATTCAATTACATAACAAAACTTCATCAATGTACTAAAGCAACAATAAAACTCCATAATTAAACTACACACTAAAATCTATCAGTATACTGAAACAACAATAAAACTCCATTTACAATCATGTACACATACGGCATAAAAATCACCAACCTTAGACGAACAAAATAAAATAAAATGTAATTAAAACGGCAACTAACTCACTGGAGATAATTGAGCTACTGTCGATGAAGTCGTATACCCTCTCCAAATTATCGAGAATCGAGAAATGTAACGGCGGCAGCGAGATCACAGATCTTGCATCAGAGACAAGCGGTGGAGGTAGAAAGGGATCTACAACCAGATTTCTTGCACGGTTCCGATATTGTAGCGGCGGTGGCGATTGCGGCTGCATCTATGGAGGATGGTGATCTTCGTAAAGAGAGAGAGAAAATGGAGGCTAAGAGAGAGTGAAAAGAGAGATATAAAATAATGTATGTGACAAAATTACCCCCAACCCTTTAAACTCAATTCCTAATTTTAACCCCAATTTAACTTCAATTTCATCAATTTTGACCATAAAAATCTTGGCTTTTGTTTTCCTCACCGCCGGTCTTCGGCGTTGACATTTTTTTTCCGCCGCCATTTTCCGGCTCGTTGACTTTTTTGAATTTTTTTCTTATGTTGTTTACACCGTCGGTTTCCGGAGTTGATCGGCAGTCAGCGCCGGTCTCCGGCGTTGTCCTTTTTTTTTTCCCTCAAAATTTTGTCCATTTTTTTATGCCCGCCGCTAAACATTGTCCGTAATTGTACTGTCATTGACAGTAATTGTACTTTCACGGATTGTGACAGTACAATTACTGTAAACACAATAATATTACTGTCAACCACACCAATATTAATATTTTTTTTGTTTTTTTTATTTTGTTTGATTTGTTGACCACCAACGTAATACTACTATTGTCGTTGACTATAAAATTACTGTAAACACAATAATATTAATGTCAACCACATCAATATTTTTTTTCGCCTCTTTATTTTGTTTGATTTATTGACCGATTAACGTAATTTTATTTATTATATACTATAGTAATATTACAGTAAACACAATAATATTTTGGTGGTGGACGATAAAATTATTGTCGTTACAGTAATATTAATGTGGTTGACAGTAATATTATTGTCAACCACAACAATATTAATTCTTTTAGCATTTTATCATGTTTACCTTTGTTAAACGGTCAACATATTCATATTAACCTATTACACAATGATTTTTGTATTTATTATTTTTACTTACATAATGTATAATAATATAAAATAGTATATAAATAATATGGAAAGAACATATAAATATTAAAAATTATATATTATTACAGTTTATTGTTTATTTTGAATTTATTTTACAATAATCTAAATATTTTTTAATAACAAAATTTAATAATTAAAAAAAAACCAAATGAGCTTATGCTCGAGCTCGAGCCTGCCAAAATAGGCGAGATCGGCTCGTTCACACCCCTACGTGCAACATTTATATATCTAAAAAAAATATCTAACATGACTTTTTTTTTTAATCTCTGTAAATCGATAAATAATTTGAAATAGGAAAACTAAAAGAAATCCATATTTCATGTTTTCTAGCCACCACACATTTTCACCTTTCGCTCCGTAATCTTGCTTTCACATTTTACGACTTAATCATTATTTCACATTAAATTAAGATGTTACAGTATGTGCAATTTCATATATAAAAAATAAAAGTATTAAAAAGAAATTAAGAAAATAATACAAATTGTATAAATCATTTTAAGACACAGTGATACATAAATCTAAGCCCAATGGGCCTTGTCTTTAAGTGAGCCTTTTGATTCCTAGGTTACTGGGTCACTGTCACTTTATATACATGATAGAAAATGATCAAAAGAAATATACATGTCTGTGCGCAGCCGTTTCTGAATTCCGACATCAATGCCATTGTTTGTGTGGGCTTATCGATCATCGGCTGAAGATCTCTGCCGCCTAAGACCTCCTCGTGAACCTCCGCCGCCGAGGTGTTTGCCATACTTTCCAAAGTTTTTTTTTCCAATTTTGTTTAGATTGATTGTTCAAGTGCTGATAGATATGATTTGGAGAAACGGATCTATGATGTTTTGTTCTGCATGTTGCCTTAAATCTGTTGTTTTTTATTCTTTGAAACTATTTAAATAATCATGTAGCAAATTTTGGTAGTGCTAGAATTTAAGACCTCGGTATCTGAATTTGGTATTTTTAGTTTTCTATTTACTAAATGTTCAATCCTATATGTCATTCAAGGGTTAAAGTTTAAATGCATGTAGATGGTTATTTTACTTATGATTGATACATTTTGAGAGCGAGGAATATCATTTTTTTAATTCTATGATCATGTTTGAATATACTTATTCGGATGTTTTTAGAGGAAGCATGTAAGCAAATTGCCACATAAGTATTTATGTGATCTTTAAATGTAGAATTGATTTTGTTATTTATTAACATTTACGGCCACAAATATGTAGCCTTTTGCAGCTACATTGTTTCTAAAATCACTAATTTTCTTATTTTTAATAATAGTTAAAGTTAATTATGAGCGTAAGTCATAAACACTCTGTCTCTCTCATTTTGTTATTTAATATTTTTTCTATTTTTTACAGTGGTTGAGTAAGCGGTCTTTCTTTTCTTCAAGGTTTGCCCGTGTGAACCCATTTTAACCTTGGGAAGGGCTACTGTGAGGTTTTATTCACAAAGGGAGACATATGTAGATGCACTAGAGAAGCATCTCTCGAACAATATTCTTATTCGTCGGCGACATACTAGTTAAACCAGTTTTCTAACAATGTAAACATTTTTCTTGCACCATGTTTGTAAAATCATGGGTTTTATGATGAATAAAGTTTATGAATTTCCTCTCATTTTTTCCTAGTTGACCAACCAAACCAGTTTTATTGGCGGGTGGACGGAGTAGTTGCATTGATCTTTAACAATGTTCTTCTGAGCGACACAACAGTGGTAAAACGAATTTTCGTCAGCATCTTTCTTTGGCAAGTTTAAAGCCCTCTTCGGTACAAGTTATCTATGGGACATAACTAGTTTTTGATGCACTATTGCCCTTTGTTTCTAATGCACTATTTTCCTTGTTGTTAACAACTTCAGAAGTTAATTGTGAATGCGAGTTTATGAACTATCTCTTCTCTTTTCAGTTTGTTGTTGAATGATGAATGATTTGCACTAGTTTGTTGTTGAATGATGAACAATTCGCACTAAAACTCGTATTTTTTGTTTTCTTTTTGTTAAATGGTTGGACCTATATGTCGTTCAACGATTATGATTTAAGTGCATATAGAGGGTCATTTTACGTTTGATTTGATTGAATTTGGTAGCCAATTTACGGGGCAGATAGAGAGAGAGAGAGAGAGAGAGAGAGAGAGAGAGAGAGAGAGAGAGAGAGAGAGAGAGAGAGAGAGAGAGAGAGAGAGAGAGAGAGAGAGAGAGAGAGAGAGAGAGAGAGAGAGAGAGAGAGAGAGAGAGAGGAATATCAATTTTTTTTAACACTATGATCATTTTTGAATATACTTATTTGGAGTTTTTATAGGAAGTGTGTAAGAAAAAAACTCCCAATCGGAGTATTTCTTGATCTTTGATGTAGAACATAATTTTGTTATATATAAACATTACGCCTACAAATTTATAGCCTTTTGCACTTACATTGTTTCTAAATTCACTAATTTTCTTATTTAAACAACCATTAAAGTTATTTATGAGAGTACTTTATTTTGTATCTCTTTTTATCCTTTTTCTTTTTCTTTTTTTATTTTTTTATTATTTTTTTGTTGACGATTGTAGAGTAAGAGGTCTTTCTTTTCTTTGAGGTTTGGCCTCGGAACTCTATTATCACCCTAGGAGGGCTTCTGTTGAGTTGGTTGTCTCCCCAAGAACAGAAGATGGGAGACATATGTAGATGCACTAGATAAGCATCTCGAAAAATATTCTTATTCGTCAAAGACATACTGGTTAAACCACTTTTCTAACAAAGTAAACTGTTTTCTTGCACCATGTTTGTAAAATCATGGGTTTCATGATGAACAAAGTTTATGAATTTCCTCTCATTTTTTTCTCGTTGACCAACCAAACCAGTTTTATTGGCGCGTGGAGGGAGTAGGAGCATTGATCTTTAACAATGTTCTTCTGAGCGACACAACAGTGGTAAAATAAATTTCCGTAAGCACCTTTCTTTGGCAAGTTAAAGCCCTCTTTGGTACAAGTTATCTATGATGGGAACATAACTAGTTTTTTATGCACTATTCTCCTTTGTTTCTAATGCACTATTTTCCTTGTTGTTAACAACTTCAGAAGTTAATTATGAATGGGAGTTTATAAACTCTCTCTTCTATTTTCAGTTTGTTGTTGAATGATGAATGATTTGCACTAGTTTGCTGTTGAATGATGAACAATTCGCACTGAATCAGGTATTTTTTGTTTTCTTTATATTCAATGGTTAGACCTATATGTCATTGAACGATTACGATTTAAGTGCAGATAGAGGGTCATTTTACTTTTGAATTGATTAGATTTGGTAGCCAATTTGTGGGGCAAAGAGACATAGCGAGAAATATCATTTTTTTAACCCTATGATCATGTTTGAATATATTTATTTTGAGATTTTATAGGAAGTTTGTAAGCAATTTGCCGTAATTCTTTGATCTTTAAATGTAGAACATAATTTTGTTATTTATAAACATTTATGGCCACAAATTTGAAGCCTTTTGCACCTACGTTGTTATTAAATTCACTAATTTTTCTTATGTTAACAACTATTAAAGTTAAATATGAGCGTAGTTCATTTTGTCTCTCTCTTTTTTTGTTTTTCCTTTTCTATTTATTATTATTATTTTTTTGTTGATGGTTGTCGAGTAAGAGGTCTTTCTTTTCTTTGAGATTTGCCCTCGAAACCTCATTTTCACTCCGGGAATGGCAACTATTGAGTTGGTTGTCTCCCCTAGGACAGAAGATGGGAGACATGTAGATGCACTAGATAAGCAACTCGAACAATATTCTTATTCGTCAAATGCATATTGGTTAAACAAGTTGTCTAACCAAGTGCACTTTTTTTCTTGCACCATGTTTGTATAATCATGGGTTTCGTGATGAACAAGGTTTATGAATTTCCTCTTATTTTTCTTTGGTACTTGACCAACCAAAGATGTTTTACTGGAGGGTGAAGGGGTGAAGGGAGCAGGAGCATCGATCTTGAACAATGTTTTTGTGAGCGACACAACAACGGTAAAATAAATTTTCTTGAGCACCTTTTTTTTTTTTTTTGACAAGTTTAAAGCCCTCTTTGGTACAAGTTATCTAGGGTTGGAATAATAAATAGTTTTTGTTGCACTATTGCCCTTTGTTTTTAATGCAATATTTTTGTTGTCGTTAACAACTTTAGAAGTTAATTATGAATGGGAGTTTATGAACTCTCTTTCTCTCTTCTCTTTTAAGTTTGTTATTGAATGATGAATTATTTGCACTAGTTTGTTCTTGAATGATGAACAATTTGCACTGAATCTAGTATTTGTTTGGTTTTTTTTTTTTTTTGTTTAATGTTTAGTCCTATATGTCACTGAAGGAATAATATTTAAGTGCATATAGAAGGTCATTTTACTTTTGATTTGATTGAAGTTGGGAGTCAATTTGTGGGGCAAAGAGTGATAGCGAGGAATATCATTTTTTTTAACCCTATGATCAGGTTTGAATATATTTATTTGGAGTTTTTCTAGGAAGTATGTAAGCAAACTGCCAAACTAGTATTTGTTTGATCTTTATATGTCGAACAAAATTTTGTTATTTATAAACATTGGCAGCCATAAATGTGTAGCCTTTTGCACGTACATTGTTTCTAAATTCACTTATTTTTGTATTTAAACAACTATTAGAGTTAATTATGAGTGTAGTTCATTTTGTCTCTCTCTTTTATTTTTCTTTTTTTATTCATTATTATTTATTTTTTGTCGGCAATTGTCGAGTAAGAGGTCTATCTTTTCTTTGAGTTTTGCCCCCGGAACCCCATTTTCACCTTGGGAAGGGCTAGTATTGAGTTGGTTGTCTCCCGAAGAATAGAAGATGGGAGACATATGTAAATTCACTACAAAAGCATCTCGAACAATATTCTTATTCGTCAGAGACATACAGGTTAAACCAATTTTCTAACAAAGTAAATTTTTTTCTTGCACCATGTTTGTCATATCATAGGTTTCGTGATGAACAAAGTTTATGAATTTACTCTCATTTTTCTTTTGTAGTTGACCAACTAAAGAAGTTTTACTGGAGGGTGGAGGGAGCAGAAGCTTCAATCTTCAACAATGTTATTGGGAGCGACACAACAACGGTAAAATGAATTATATTGAGCACCTTTCTTTGGCAAGTTTATAGCCCTCTTTGGTACCAGTTATCTATGATCAAAACATAACTAGTTTTTGATGCAGTATTGTCCTTTGTTTTTAATGCACTATTTTTCTTGTTGGTAACAACTTCAGAAGTTAATTATGAATGTGATTTTATGAATTTTCTCTTCTCTTTTCAGTTTGTTGTTGAATGGTGATTGATATGTACAAGTTTGTTTTTGAATGATGAATAATTTGCATTGAATCAAGTATTTTTGGTTTTCTTTTTACTGAATGTTTAGTCATATATGTCATTGAAGGATTAAGATTTAAGTGTATATAGAGGGTCATTTTACTTTTGATTTGATTGAATTTGGGAGCCTTAACACTATGACCATGTTTGAATATACTTATTTAGAGTTTTTATAGGAACTAGCAAGCACCATGTGTGTTGCACGTGATTATATATAATTTTACTTAACATATATGACTTATTATTAATAAATAAAAGTTTCATACTATATTTAACAACAAAAGATATTTTTAAATAAAATTAAATAAGTACAAAACTTCATGTTCTCCTTATGTATCAATACGTATGATGAAATAAAATTAGTCCAAATTTGATATTAATAAGAATTTAAAACCACAATAAAATAGCTAAAATAAATTGTTATATACTAATTCATGCTCACACTAAAATTTCTCTTATTTTGTTGTGATAGATGCTAATTTTATTATCTTAAATTTCTCTGCATAATTATTGTTTGAAACAATTAAGTATTTTTTCATGTTACTCGTATGTTATGATCACTGTGGTTAAATTTACCAATAATTTCCTTAAAGAAAGTGCAATTTGATATTAATAAGAATTTAAAACCACAATAAAATAGCTAAAATAAATTGTTATATATTAATTCATTCTCACACTAAAATTTCTCTTATTTTGTTGTGATAGATGCTAATTTTATTATCTTAAATTTCTCTGCATAATTATTGTTTGAAACAATTAAGTATTTTTTCGTGTTACTCGTATGTTATGATCACTGTGGTTAAATTTACCAATAATTTCCTTAAAGAAAGTGCAATTTACTACATCAAGGCCCTGATATTTGGTGTAATTACAATTAGACTGCATCTAATTTGAGAAATGCATATCTCCCTTGAATTTGAATAGTAGCAAAGATTTAACTCATTTGATCAGTTACTTTTCTTAGATTATATTTTTACCTCTGACCAAATGTTGAGTAAACTATGTTGACCTTCCTTCGGTTAATTCTACGTATACACCCTTGTATTTTTTTTATTTGACCTCAAATTTTGAAATAGTTTTAATCATCCACGTCTATTATTTCATTTTTATTTTTATTTTCATAAATTCTTTTATTAATATTGATATTTGAGTTACATTATAATATTTATAAAGGGTCTATTAGATATAACCCCCTTAAACATTCAAATAATAGGGGTAGACCCAAATTTATATTTGCCATTTTTATAACAGCCCAAATTTTTCCTAATTACATAATTACCCTCAATCAAATCCCACAAAACCCGTTACTTTACCTTTTGAAATAAAATCAAATCCCTTCCTATTTTTCCGTTAAATCACTATCATCCCAAATCCACTATCGAATAAACTGCAAAACCTCCCAGAACAACTTTCCGGTACGGCCGATTGAAAGGGGAAGACGTCTGCACTGCCGTGAAACGACGATTTTCGTGCACTCCGAGCAAGCTGTCGTAGGTACGTCATCGCCACTCGCTGAATCGCTATCATCCATCGATTTGTTGATATGTTTTGGCTAAATCGACTATTACGTTTGTGTAATTGCAGAGCTGTTATAATCGCATACCGAATTCGAGCACTTAATCAGTGATATTGCAACAATTGATGGGCAGAACATCCACCAGAAGTGATATCGTCTTTGGCCGCCGCCGTCGCCGTCGCCGTCACTGCTCCAGTCTAGGGTTACTCAAATCTAGGATTACTCAAATCTAGGGTTTTGATAATTTTTCGGCCCATAGTTGATTAACGAGATGCATAGTCGAATTACATCTGTATTAATATACTATCCCATATCATTTAAAAGACTATCCCACTGGTATAATTTTACTATGGATCTCGTTAATCGACTATGTGCCGAAGAATCATCAAAACCCTAGATTTGAGAAGTGACGGCGGCGGATTTGTGTTTTAAAATTAATAGACTATCTCATATCTTTTAATAGACTATCCCATGTACCTAATTCGACTATGGGTTTAGTTAATTGACTATTGGAAAAATAATAATATATATGGAAACTGAATAATATGTTTGTTTGAAATACTAATCAATTAGGGTAATTTTCCTTATTATATGAAAACGATTAAGGTAAATAATAATATATATGAAAAAATAATAATACATATGGAAACTGAATAATATGTTTGTTTGGAATACTAATCAATTAGGGTAATTTTCCTTATATCATGTAATAGACTATCTTATTGATCTAATTCGACTATGGATCTCGTTAATCGACTATGGATCCCGTATTATTCAACCACATAGTATA